TTTGATGATTGAGCGTTGGATTCAACAGCATGGAGAAAGTAACGCGAAGCATTCTCAGAAATGCACAGTAAACCAATCAATTCAGTCATTGGACGTGTTGGACCACAGCGACATCACTTGACGTTTGGCATCACGATTTAAATAAATATATTCGGACAGTTGATTTAGTCGCAGTTGTGTCCAAAGTTGTATCCAAGGACACCAAAGGGTAGTAAAGAGGCAAGGAAAAATATATTATGGTGATGTTCAAGCTCCCGATTGGATGAAACCTGCCAGAGGAGCTGATACCTGCCAGCGGAGCTTGAACGTCCATACCACCATAGTGACGTCACTATGGTGACATTCAAGCTCCCGATTGAACGAAATCGTCAACAGCTGATACCTGCTATCGGCAGAGTTGCGAAGATCGCTGTGTAGACACGGCCGATGGCCTGGAGCGTGGTGCAAATGTAGTGGTTGAAGATGGTGAGATATCTAGAAATGCGATGTTAATTTCCAAAACGTTTGTAAACCTATGACGCAGTGGACGGCGGCGGTATTTCGTCCACTTCTTACGGACGTCACCGAGGGGGACGCTGCGATTGAAGCAGCCGGTGGTGAGAACGATCGTCACAACATCCAGGTAAGTGGAAGCTGGGTGCATTTTATTTTGTATACAAAGGCGTTAAATGTTTGGACACACATCTAGACGTCAGTATGGGCGACAATGATAGATGAAGCATAATGTGTTTGCGTCCATACTTAATGCAAGAACTTTGGGACAATGCCAGATTTTCTTTTTTTACTTTCTTCCCTTATCATTTATCAAATTTGTTCGGGAAATTTTACCCAATACTGTCTGCTAATAATTCATTCCATTTATGTAGCAGTGTTAATACGCCATGCTTAATGTGCTTTTTTTTAGAATACATTGATTTTTTGTGAACGCATGTATATTTTCCTTGGTATGTCTGTATTTTCCCTGGTATATGAGCAACCCACAGGTACCCCCAGTGTGAAGTGCGTTAACTTCCCTGCGGTGGCGTCGGAGAGGGGAGGTCTCGGCACAACACGACGCGTCGCGACGGACTGGCTTTGGTAAACAAAAATAACGTCGCAGATACTCCATATTTGCGGTAAAAACCTATCCCATTACTGTCACAATACAAACCATGTAATCGAAGGAGCAGCCCATTTATAAATAAATTCTTGTCCGAGAGAGAGATATCTTATGACCTATAGTGCCTGAAATGAAGGGTCCATGTGTGGATTATCTGATTAATGTGCTTGAGTCGTCGTTCCGGTGACAAGTAATAATTTAATTTTGCCTAAATTCATTAGTCTTTACTACATAGTTATGACTAATGGATGTCGACACCAATGACAGTGTGCTCTGCAGAAAATTGTCTGCACTCAAAATGTCCGTTCAGCTCCGAATTTAGGCGAAGATTGCCCTGGCTCACGACCTAGAACGCATCGGGCGGCAAGGCAGGAGTCTGGCCAAGGCGTGAATCGAACTGCAGCGCCACAGATGCAAAAGCGGAGCGAAACAGGGACGAATACAGAGACACATTTTGGCAGGGGAAATTTAAAATGTTTTTGTCAAATGTGTCATATTATGGATTTTGTAAAATGTCGCCAGCTACACTCAGCTCATGCTCAAGCTCAATTTTTTTTTCAAAGTTTCGTGACAAGTTTAAATTAATAGTTACTGGAAAAAACTGGGGGGTGGGGGATTTCCCTCATTTCTCTCCCCGTGGATCCGTGCCTGAGTGAAGTGAGTGAGTATCTAGTGTGATCGGGCGCGAACAATATTGTTATTGGCTATT